ATACCAAAACCGAACAAGGACAACACAAACAAGGAAAACTACAGGCCAATCTCCCTAATGAACACTGATGCAAAAATCCTCAATAACATTTTAGCTATCAGAATCCAACAATGTATCCTTAAGATAATTCACCACGACCAAGTAGGATTCATTCCAGGGACACAGGATGTTTCACATCTGAAATCAATCAACGTTATCCAACACATCAACAAAAAGAAATATAAAAATCATATGATAATATCAATAGATGCTGAGAAAGCTTTCAACAAAGTGCAACACCCATTCATGATAAAAGCCCTTGAAATTCTTGGGATACAAGGAACATACCTCAACATCATAAAGGCCATCTATGACAAGCCAACAGCCAGTATCATTCTCAATGGTGAAAAGCTGAAAGCAATTCCATTAAGATCTGGAACAAGACAAGGATGTCCACTCTCACCACTGCTTTTCAATATAATACTGGAAGTCCTAGCCAGAGCAATAAGACAAGAGAAAGACATACAAGGAATCCAAATAGGAAAAGAAGAAGTCAAATTATCACTATTTTCAGAAGATATGATAATATACATAGAGAACCCCAAAAACTGCACAGAAAAACTAATTCAACTCATCAATCAGTTCAGTAAAGTGGCAGGATACAGAATCAACACACAAAAGTCAGTAACCTTCCTATACAAAAACAATAAATCTGAAGAAGAAGAAATCAAAAAAACCATCCCTTTTATTATTGAAACAAAAAAAAATCAAATACTTGGGAATAAATCTAACAAAAGAGGTAAAGGACCTATACAAAGAAAACTATAAAACACTGTTGAAAGAAATAGAAGAAGACACAAAGAAATGGAAAGACATCCCCTGCTCATGGATTGGAAGAATAAACATTATTAAAATGGCCATCCTACCAAAAGCAATATATAGATTCAATGCTATTCCAATCAAAATTTCAATGTCATTTCTTCAAAGAAATAGAACAATTATTGATGAAATTCATATGGAATCACCAAAAACCCCGAATAGCCAAAGCTCTCCTGAAAAAAAAAAAAAAGAAGGGAATGGAGGCATCACACTCCCAGACTTCAAACTATACTACAAAGCCATATCAATCATCAAACTGCATGGTATGTGGAACAAGAACAGACACACAGACCAATGGAATAGAATAGAAAATCCAGAAATAAACCCACAGATTTATGGTCAACTCATCTTTGGCAAAGGAGCAAAGACTTTGCATTGGAGCAAAGAAAGTTTGTTCAATAAATGGTGCTGGGAAAACTGGTCGCTACATGCAAAAGAATGAAGCTTGACCACTACCTCACACCATACACGAAAATCAACTCAAAATGGATTAAAGAACTAGACATAAGACCTGAAACCATAAAATACATAGAAGGAAATATAGGCGAAACACTACGGATTTGCACATCAAAGACATCTTTACAGACACATCACCCAAAGCAGTGATAGTGAGGCAAAGATAAACAGCTGGGACTACATCAAATTAAAGAGCTTCTGCACAGCAAAAGAGACAATAACAAAAACAAAGAGAAACCCCACCGACTGGGAGAACATTTTTGCACCCAACACTAATGATAAAGGACTGATCACAAAAATCTGCAAAGAGCTCATGAGTCTCAACAACAAAGAAAATAATCCTGTCAAAAAATGGGCCGAATAGCTAAAAAGGAACTTCTCTGAGGAGGAAATGCAAATGGCCAACAGGCATATGAAGAAATGTTCAACATCACTTGTAATCAAGGAAATGCAAATCAAAACTACCATGAGATACCATCTTACACAAGTGAGAATGGCACATATTAAAAAAACTAGCAACACAAATGTTGGCGAGGATGTGGAGAAAAAGGAACTCTCCTGCACTGTTGGTGGGAGTGCAAACTGGTCCAACCACTATGGAGAGCTGTGTGGAGATTTCTGGACTTATTAAACATAGAGCTTCGATATGATCCAGCAATTCCACTCCTAGGTATTTACCCAAAGGACACAGAAACATCAATTCTAAAGAGCACCTGTACTCCTATGTTCATAGCAGCACTATTTACAATCGCTAAGCTTTGGAAACAACCCAAATGCCCCAAAATAGATGACTGGATCAAGAAGATGTGGTCCATGTACACCATGGAATATTACTCAGCATTCAAAAAAGATAAACACATGCAATTTGTAGCAACATGGATGGCACTGGAAGGGATCATGCTCAGTGAAATAAGCCAGAAAGAAATAGAAAAATACCGGATGGTCTCACTTATAGCAGGAATCTAGAAAACTTAAATAAGGGACCAGGAAAATGAATAACTGTAAGAAAGTGATAATCAAATCAACAAAAACTATGAACCAGAGACACTCTATGGGGGTGGGGTGCAGGGAGGGGAGGGATTGGGGTCAAAATAAGGGGATTGTAATTGTATGGGGAATATAAAAATAAAATTTATTTTTTAAAAAAAGGGAAGTACATGGCAATGCAGATCTGTATTAAGAAACAGGAACGATCTCACTAATTCAACCTTACACGTTAAGGAACTAGAGAAAAAATGACAAATGAAACCTAAAGTCAGTAGAACAGAGGAAGTATTAATAATAAAACTTGTAGCAGAATTAAATGAAATAGAAGTTTTAAAAGACTACCAAAATTCAGTAAAAGCAAGAGCTGGTTCTTTGAAAAGATAAAATAAATTTCTAACTAGGCTCACTAAGAGGAAAAGGTACAAAACTCTAATAAATGGAATCAAAACAAAAGAGAAATTATAACACACATTGCAAAAATAGAGTATTATAAGAAACTACTATGAGCATATTTATGCCCCAAAATACAGGATGACCAAGAAGAAATGGACAATTTTTAGAAGCATACAACCTTCCAAGACTTTATCAAGAAGAAATTGAAACCTGAACAGACCAATTTTAAGCAAGGAAATTTAAACACTAATCAAAAGTCTCCCGATAAAGAAACATTCAGTACCAGATGGTTTCACTAGTGAGTTCTGCAAAACACTCCAATATTAATAAATACCATCCTTCTCAAACTCTTCCAAAAAATTGAGGAAGAAGGACTACTACCAATCAGATTTTATGAGTCCAGCATTATTCTGATATGAAAAGTAGACAAGGGCAAAACGCGCGCGCGCGCGCGAGCGAGCAAGCAAGAGAGGGAGGGAGAGAAAGAAAGAAAACTTCAGACCAAAATCCTTGATGAACACATATCTTCAACAAATTGTTATCAAACTGAGTTCACAATACATTAAAAGAATCATTCATCATGTCCATTCCAGAGATGCAAGAATGGTTGAACATATATGAGTGAGTCTATGTAATTCTCCACAGCAGCAACAGGAAAGTTAAAAAATCATATGATCATATCATTCAATGCAGAGAAAACCATTGACAAGATTTAACATCCACTTATGATTAAAAAAATCTCAAAAATGGGAACAGAAATAATATATCTCATTATAATAAAAGCCGTATGTGGCAAATCGACAACTAACAGTAGTGAAAAATTGAAAGCTTTTTTTCTAAGATCAAGTACAAGATAAGGATGTCCACTTTCACCATTACTATTCAACAAAGTATTGGAAATCCCAGCTACAGAAATTAGGCAAGAGAAAGATATAAAAGGAATCTAAATTGAGAGGAAGAAGTAATGATATCACCATTTGTATATTACTTGATTTTTTTATATACGTGTGTGTGTATATATATATATACACAGAAGGTCTTGAAGAATCCACTAAAAACTATAAATCAGTAAGGTGAAGTGACAGAATACAAAACCAATATACAAAAATTACTTGCTTTCCTTGTGCACACAACAAACTAGAAGGGAAAGAATAAAAAAAGACTTAAATATTAGGAATAAACAAAGGAGTTGAAATAAGAGACAAAGATATGGGAAGAAATTCTTTGTTCATGGATTGTAAGAAGTAACAGTGTTAAAATGACCATCTTATTCAAAGCAAAATACAGATTGAATGCAATCCATACCAATGTTTCAATGATATTCTTCAAAGAAGTAGAGCAATAATTATTAAAATTTATGTAGAACTACAAAAGACCTCAAGTAGCCAAAGTTATAGTAGTCAAAACAGTGTGGTATTGGCACTATGGAGAGCTGTGTGGAGATTTCTGGACCTACTAAACATAGAGCTTCCATATGATCCAGCAATTCCACTCCTAGGCATTTACCAAAGGACACAGAAACACCATTCAAAGAGCACCTGCCACCTATTTTTTTATAGCAGCACTATTTACAATAGCTAAGCTTTGGAAACAGCCCAAATGCCCCAAAAATAGATGACTGGTCAAGAAGATGTGGTCATATATACAATGGAATATACTCAGCATTCAAAAAAGATAACCATGCAATTTGCAGCAACATGGATGGCACTGGAAGGGATCATGCTCAGTGAAATAAGCCAAAAAGAAAAAGAAAAATACCGGATGGTCTCACTCATAGCAGGAATCTAGAAAACTTAAATAAGGACCAGGAAAATGAATAACTATAAGAAAGTGAAAATCAAATCAACAAAAACTATGAACCAGAGACACTTTTTGGGGGGTAGGGGCGGGAGGGGAGGGATTGGGGTCAGAATGGGGGGGTTGCAATTGTATGGGGAATATAAAAATAAAATTTATTATTAAAAAAAAAAACTGTGGTATTGGAATAAAAATTGACAACCTATGAGCAGAATGAAATGTGAGCCTAGAAATACACACTTACATGGACAGTTTTTGACAGTGGAGCCAAGAGTATGCAATGGAGAAAGGAACATCTCTTCAACAAATACTGTTAGAAAAGCTGGACAGCCACATGCAAAATTATGAAACTGTAACACTATGTCACATCATAAACAAAATAATTAACTCAAAATGGATTAAGCACTTGTATCTAAACCCTAAAACCGTAAGATCCATAGAATAAAAATATAAGCAACACACTTCATGATATTGGCTTTAGTATGTCTTTCTGGATTTGTCTCTGACAGCAAGAGAAACCAAAGAGAATATTAAAAAATGGGACTACATCAAACTGAAAAATTTCTGCACAGCAAGAGAAATGAACATTGCCGTAAAACTCCTAGACAAAGGGGGGAAAGATGGACATTCAGGGATGTCCTTCAAGAGATAAATCAGCTTGGCCGGATGTCAGACCTTGTTAAAATGTAACCTCGTTTAGGTAAGCTAAAACTTAGATAGAAATCTCTCTAAGGAAAGATTTATTAAGTAAGCAAACTTGTTATTTACAATAATAATGCAACTTTAAAAAGGATTATCTTGTGGTATAACATAAAACATTTAAAATATAAATAAATAAAATTTACGGATCTCATTGACTAAAGTGATAGTAACAAAAATCACTTTAGTTAGTGATAAAAGAAGCTGATAGGGCCTTCCCGGTGGCTCAGCGAGTTGAGCACCTTGCTGTGAAGCTGTCCACAGCCTCTGCAGTGCGGGTTTGATCTCCACTGACTGGCGAGATCCTACATGGCCCCGCAGACCTCTTCTGTCTCCCCCGCTGCTCCCCTCAGCAGTGTCTTGGGTCCGTCTGCCTGTTCTGCTCCTGTCTCTGGTGAATCCTCTCACCCTCCCACACCTCTGGCCTTTACCCCAGCTCTTGTATAAATAAATAAATCTTTAAAAAAAAAAGAAGCTGATAAAGCTAATGTTTCTTAATAATTTTCTGTAGGTGAGGTCTCTTTTATTATTTTTATTTTATATATTTTACGTCATTTTTCATTTTTGCACAATGTATGCAGTTTCATCTTCGTTATATTCCCCATACAATTCCTATCCCCTTTAATTTGACCCTAATTCCCCCTCCCTCCCCCCGTATGTATCTCGTGGCTTATAGTTAAAGCATGTACACACAATTTTTCATTTAATTCTTACAATCCAATGGGCAGGCACTTTTATTGTGCTCACTGGATATGTATGATGCTGCAGTTTAGAAGTTAATGTTTCAGGGCCTCCCTGGTGGTGCAGGCAGTTGAGCGCTGCACTGTGAGGCTGTCTGCAGCCTCTGCAGTGCGGTCCATCCGGCCGGCCGGCGAGGGTCCCACATGGCGCGGCAG